GAAAAGGAATCGCTTCAATTGAGACTGACCCTTAAAACCCACAACAATTCAATACTTCCTTGTTGCTTGGATCCAGTTTTTATGGATTTTTACTTTATAGTCTCCATTTGTAAGCAAAACCTATAAAATACACATGAATGAAAACTTGAATGTCCATGACATGAGTTTAGAACTTCTGATATTAGCAAAAACAAATGTCACATGGGAAAGCCGTTACAAGTAACAGCACGCTCTTTGAGCTGCAGCTTGAGTAGTAATGCAGACATGCTTGCCCTCTGAGGAGGAAGGAAATGCACCCTGCCACAGCCCATCTGCACGATTCTTTCTCATCCATGATGAAACCCTGGTGTGCACAAGAATGCCCGGGGGTGATCACCCTACAAACTACATGATTCTGCTGACCCAAATATCTTAATGCAAAGCTCCCACTGTGCAGTCAACTCTGCTGAATTTCACTGGTGGATTTTAATGGGATCCTCAACTGAGGGCAAATACCCTAGACGTAGTACGAACGACTGGCCACTGTTAGTGCTCTTACCTGTTTACTCAAAATACAAACTGACTCTCATCCTTGTATTTCAGGATGTCATCAGTATAGCTGACCACATCCTTAATTCAGCATCAGTAAACAACTGGACAACATTACTACAGGAAGAAAAGCATGCCAGCTCTCGGTTCCTAGAGACGTTGGAAAACATCAGTGCTCTTGTACCTGCAACAGCCCTGCCTTTGAATTTTTCTCGGGAATTCATTAACTGGAAAGGGATCCCAGTGTCTGAAAGCCAACATAAGATGGGTTACAACTATCAGACTGAAATATTCCCCCCAAATACCTCCATTCCCATCAGAGGCCATGTAATAATTGGGTCCAACCAATTCCAGGGGTCCCTTCCAGAAACGATTATCAGCATGGCCTCGTTGACCCTGGGGAACATTCTACCCATTACCAAAACCAGAAATGCTCAGGTCAATGGGCCAGTGATATCCACGATTATCCAAAACTATTCCATAGATGAAATTTTCCTGAGTTTTTCCAAGATAGATTCACACATGAGCCAGCCTCATTGTGTGTTTTGGGATTTCGGTCATTTGCAATGGAACGATGCAGGCTGCCACCTAGTGAATGAAACTCCCGACACGGTGATGTGCTGGTGTACTCACCTGACCTCCTTCTCCATGCTGATGTCACCCTTTGTCCCATCTACCATCAATCCTGTTGTGAAATGGATCACCTTTGTGGGGCTGGGCTTCTCCATCGGAAGTCTCATCTTATGCTTGATCATTGAGGCTCTGTTTTGGAAGCAGGTCAAGAAAAGCCAAACCTCGTACACACGTCACATTTGCATGGTGAACATAGCGCTTTGCCTCCTGGTTGCCGACGTTTGGTTTATTGTTGCTGCCAATGTGAAGGCCACGGTAAACCCTTCTGGAATCTGCATAGCTGCAGTGTTCTTCACGCACTTTTTCTACCTCTCCTTGTTTTTCTGGATGCTCACGCTTGGTATCCTGCTGGCTTACCGGGTCATCTTCGTGTTCCATCACATGGCCATTTCTTTGATGATGGCAATCGGGTTCTGCCTGGGCTATGGATGTCCTCTCATTATATCTGTCATCACCATTATGGTCACAGAACCTAGTAATAGCTACAAAAAGGAAGATGTGTGTTGGTTGAACTGGTCCCGTGGGAGCAAACCCCTCTTGGCCTTCTGTGTTCCTGCACTGACCATTGTGGCTGTGAATTTGGTTGTGGTGCTCTTAGTCCTCACAAAGGTTTGGAGGCCCGCCATTGGAGAGAGGCTGAGTCGGGACAACAAGGCCACTATCATCCGCATGGGGAAGAGTCTCCTCATCCTGACCCCTCTGCTGGGGCTCACCTGGGGCGTTGGCATAGGAACCATGGTGGACAGCCAGAATCTGGTGTGGCATGTTATTTTCACATTGCTCAATGCATTCCAGGTGAGAACAATAAGAATAGCCTATCAAATGATCAGATAATTGGAATAATTACAGAGAACTGAGGTTGGTAAGACCACTCTAGAAGTTATCTCATCTCCCTGCCTCCAGCAGGATAGTAACCAAAATTGCCTGACAATAGTAAATAGGAAAAAAAAAAAAAANAAACTGTGTAATGTTCACTTCTTCTTTTCTGGACCTCAGTTTTCTCATCAGTAAACTGAGGAGGGAGCTTGGACCAGATGGCTTCTGGGGTCTACCCTTGCACTGTCTGTGTGAAGGCATGAGGGTGAGGGCAGGCAGATCCCAGGCACCCCAGGCAGACAACAGCACTGTCAGCTGAGAAGAGCATAAAGGAGAACAGTTGGGATCTGGGCTCATGGCTTGACTTGTTTTGATCAGAAGGGAATATCCCTTCTTGGCTGCCTTCCAAGCTAGCCCAGGGTAGTGGAGGTAGACGGGAGCTTCAAGGAAGGAGTAAAACTCTAAATCCAGTGACAAAGTATAGCCCAAGCTCCATGTATTGTCTTCTCCTACAAGGATTTTTCAGAACAGTGTAGTGGATATAACAGAATTTTGTGCCAGTAGACCCTACCTTACCACTTCTTAGTTGGGGACTGTTTGGAAAGTTGCTGAATCTCACTGAACATGAGTATCTGTAGAACTAGGATACTTTATGTGAAAATGCTTTTTAATAAATCCTTTCAACTTTCAACTTCCTTAGCTATAAAGTGAAAATAATAGTGGTACCTCCTTCAAAGGCTGGTGTAAGGATTAAATCAATGAATCCCTTGAAAAGCATTTAACACAAACTAATAGCTCTGGAGTATAGAAAATACTGAATAACAGCCATGGTTGTTACCTTGTTATTGTAATAGTGTCCATTATAAGGCACCATGCAAATGTAAGTGATCTGTGGCCAATAAGTCTGATTTAAATTTGATGAAACACAGATATTCTGTTGTTTTTAAAGAAGTTAATAATTTTCACTCCTAGAATTTCAGCGTGATCGCAGGCAATGCCACTGAGGCAGCCATGTCATCCCTGGTGCGAAATCTTTCAGTCATCATTCGGCAAAATCCATCAAACACAGCTGGGAACCTAGCTTCAGTGGTTTCGATTCTGGGCAATGTCTCATCCCTATCAGTGGCAAATCATTTCGGGGTGTCCAACTCAACAATGGAGGTATGGTCTGCCTGTGCTGGAAGGACCCACTTTTTTTTTTAATTTTTCAATTACAGTTGACATTTAATATTATATTAGTTTCAGGTGTACAACATAGTGGTTAGACATTTATATAACTTATGGAGCGATCCCCCCAATAAATCTAGCACCCACTTGGCACCATCCATAGTTATTGCAATATTATTGACTATATTCTATATGCTTTACTTGACCTCCCTGTGACTATTTTTTAACTGTCAATTTGTATTTCTTAATCTCTTCCCCTTTTTCACCCAGCCCCCCAACCCCACTCCTATCTGGCAACCATCAGTTTGTTCTCTGTATCTGTGTCTGTGTTTCTGTTTT